TCCCCAAACCCCAAAACCCCAAAACCCCAAAACCCCGTACGTGAAAATTTATTAAAAATTGATAATTGAATTAGGATTGATATAGATATTAATTTATAAAAATGACACCATCTCCATCGAGATCATAAGAAATATTTGAAGATAATTAGTCATTTTTGACAAGTTCTGATCAAGAAATATACGATTATCACTCAGGTAATTTGCAATCAACTTATTTTTTTAGGAATACTAATTAAGAAGTTCAAACTCTCTAATTTCTCTGCCATCACAATTCTTTTGGCAGCTGATCTTGGAATCGGATATTTTACAATGCCGTACCTCTTCTCTATAAATTATTATTTTGGTATTTCAATAGTTTCATTAGATTATTTACATAGCAACATTTTTACTGATATTCAATTGTGCTAGTGGCATAATTTCTTGCTATTTCTTTTATTGCACCTGCGCAATAACAAAACTATAGTAAATTTTCGCTTTATAAAGTGTTTCAGATCTATACAAGAATTTATATATATTTTTGGAGGAGGCTGAGCTGGAATAATGCTTGTATGTTTAACTATGATAATTTACTACACATTTATTACGATGTTTTTCATGAGTAAAATAACATCCAGATTTAATCATAACTCTATTAGACCAATCAAATTTGTGTGTTGAGTATTTATTGACCAAAGCATTTGATAGAAAATACTAGGATGAAGATGGACTTTTTGATAATTTGCTGACTTTAGGAGTATCCATTTTCATATACCCCTTCTGTCTTTTAAAAGAATTCCACAAAATCAGAGTAAAATTAACCTCTCAGATAATTATTTAGTCAGATCATTGGAAATTTCATTTGTCTCTGCAATTTCATTGTACTACTTTCAGTGACAGTATTTGCATCATTTAATAGGTTTGACGATTGGTATGAGAATAAAGTAGAATCTGATTTTTTCAAGAAAACAAGCTTGATGAATTCTGTCCCTGAGTTCTGCTTTACATTTCACTTTGAGATATTCTTCTTGATTGTTCACCAATATACAAGAGTCAAAAGGAGGATTTAAAACGCTAAGATCGTTTCAATAACAACTAATTTAATAATTTTAGGTTATAGCGTTGCATACTCTGTATTGTGCTTAAGTTCTAGTATTGTATTCAAAGATTTTAGAGAGACAGTAGATGATACAAATGAAACCGTTAAAGCAAATGGGTATTTGGTAAATGGAATGATTGTGGTAGTAACTCTACTTTAAATACCATTTAAATTCTTTGTGTCCAAGGAGTTTTTGTTTATTATGTATGATGAGCTGAGAAATTGTGGATTGTCTAATAAAGTGGACTAAATGCAGAAGAAAGTTTATGGAAATCTTGGTTACACTTAGCAGTCAATCAGATAAATCTCAGCTTAGCATTATCAAATTGTGAGGGAACCATATTTAAAACTTTCAAAGAAGGAATACTACATCTTAACAACTTCTATATTTTTAATTGATTGTGTCCTTGTTGGCATCTTAAAATCGGACTTGAGAGATTAATATGGTGGTTCTGGAAGATTTATATAGTACATGACAAATGTCACATCTGCAATTATTTAACCACTTGTAGTTTACTGTTGCAGTGGATACTTTTATTATAAGGCTTGTCTGAAATTTGAGATAAAGTAAGTTTCTAATTCAGACTTTATATAACTTTTTAGCAAGAAAATGAGATTATTTGCTCTTGGTTTTGCATATTTAGGACTAGTTTTAGCTATATATTACACTTTTATTGTTGTATTCAATATATCCTCTGATGGACATGGCAGTTTAGAACCAATTTGACTAGATAAATCAATAAGCTATCTAATCTTCTCCTTTAAAAGCTTGCATCTGACCAATCAATCAATTTTGCTTATGACTTAATTTATTTATTTTTATCCTTAACATTTATTTCCAACATTAACTTACGGGGTTTTGGGGTTTTGGGGAGATC